GAGATGAGGGAAGGCAGCATTCCTAAACTCAACAGGGAGAAGTCATTTTATTTCCTCTTTTGATTTCCCAAGTTATTACCATTTCTAAGGAAAAACTTATCCCTTCCCTGATCTTCCACTCAGTCCTTGCTTTTGAAAATATGGAAATCATGGAACGCTTGCATGAATTTCAATCCATGGCCTGACAGGTGATGCTTTGGAAAAGGAACAGAGGATCAGATCATCAAATGCACGTCCACTGAAATAAATGGAACAAAATTACACCAGAAACGGCCTGGTTTGGAAATGGAAGTAGCCTAACCCCCTCCAGTTCTGTCAGCACAAAAGTTGAATATGTCCCAGTACTATTTATGGGTGTTCTTATGAAAATGTTGTCTCTTCCCCATTGCCAGTTGGTTCATTACCAAGGTTGTGGACTAATTGTACTCAGGAACTTCTTTACATTCATGACTGTCTGTAACGCTTTAATTGTTACAAGGCAAACACTCCATGTATCCTATGTTCTTCCTGGCTGATCTTTATAAAACTTGTGCTATCTGTGGGGTTTGTTACTTGATTTTTTTTCCCTCTGTGTTCTACCACCCAAACTCATCCTGAGCCAACTGAGAGGAGATGTCCATCAAATGAAGCAAAACCCAGCAGTGCACAAACGAAACTCTTCCAGGCTCTGTTAGTACAGAGTTGTGAGTGAATTATTTCCCTGCACACCTTAACTTCAACTCCCACCTGCAATACATTCCACAGACTCTGAACCAGGGGACAACGAGCCCCATGGCTCCTGGGGCTGCTTCCAGGGCTGCAGACTGGACCCAGGGGCTTCTTCACCTGCTCAGCTGCTGAACAATTCAGCTAATCCACACGAGATAATTACCTGATACCTCTTCCTATTGACCCAGCTCATTTTCATGCACCTATGACCTGCTTTATAGAAATGAAAAAGATTCCTTATAGAATGAAAAATCTCCTCACTTCTTTTTGCAGGATATACCATCAACTTGTTTAACAACCAAAACCAACAAAGAAAAGGCTAAACTTCCCTTAAAGTTAATTTGAGACCTGAAAAATATTGTACTCATGTAGATTCTAAATTATAGTTCAGTGTTTCACATCAAAAATATTCACAGAAAGCTGATTACAGAGTTACCAACAAAATGCACCTAGAAAATCAGGGTTTCTTCTCTTCTGTGCTGGCTAGTAACAATGCTCCACGTGAATGCAGCATATCCAAAATAAATCTGGTAATCTGGTTCCATACAGGTAATTTTATTAATTGCTTTAATACGCAATTAAGGAATAGTCAGTGGGCTGCAGGGTTTTATAAGGCAATAATCCTGTTCCCTGGTGTACAGCTCTGTCCCAAAGAGTGGGCTAGCAAAAAAAAAATAAAAAAATTAGCTGGATGACTGCCAAATCAAACAGCACCTTCTTCCCATTTTCAATTACGTACGAGTGAGGCAGAGTAACGAGGATATACTGGAAACTTTGACATTTATTTATTGAACATTTTTACTGAGAAGGAATTGCTGGCTGGCTAAACCGGAAACTATATTTTTACTATAGAAACAATCCCATAGAAAAGCAGGATCCTGCTGCTCAGCATGAAAGGAATGGCTAGAACCAATAAATTGACCCACCTAAGATAGCAATGTTAAGGTTATTTCATTCAATAGAGGACGTATTTCAAAAATCCAAACCCCAAAAATACAGTATATTTCACAAATCTTTATGCCACACTGTTTTACACAGCACTGTCTGCTCGGGCCTAGCCAGGCTGTGTTAGAGCTCCCACAAAACCACTCAGGGAAAAAGTAAGCAGCAGTTGTAGGGACAAATGAAAAGATAAACCAAGAAGAAATTCAGAGGATTTTCTCCCCTTTCTGGAGTTTCTAGAGACTAAATAACCAAGAGATGAAATGGGGAAGAATTCACCACACTGTGTGTTTTTTTCTTTTTCTTTTTGGATAGACCAATTGTTTTACCACAGACAAGAAAAATGCAGGGAGAGTAAATGAAGAGGAAAATAGGGAAGTCAACATTCTTTGAAGCAACAACATATGGTGACCAGGCCTGAGAGATGGAGGTTATAAATCTTCCCTTGATAGAATTACCTAAAGATGAAATTGCAGCTTCAAGGGGCTTGAACTTTTCAATCCACACTAGGAGCTTGCAAATTAACCTGTTTGGTCACAGCTTTTGCATTAACCTTCATTTCCAAGGTTTCTCTGTAAAGGCTCAGCATATTAAGATTTTTCGTGCTAATACAGATGTGGTCAGTAGAAAGCACAAAAAACTTCACACAAATCACTTGAAATATGAAGAAAAACACATGAAAATTAAGAATTAGCACAAAATGCTGAATTGTTCAAAGAGCTGCAGTATGGGAAGGGAGAAGAGACAGGAGGAATGTTGCTGCATGTTCCTTTGTGAGAATAAACTTATTTAGGGATACCAAAGGATAAAGGAAAAGCTCTGGAGTGTTCCAGCCTCCATGACCCAGTGCCCAAGACAGCCAGGGTGAGGCTCCTGCTGTCCCACGTGGGGTGGGTGCATCAACAGCCACGTGTGGTGAGTGACTGCCTGTCCTTGGATAAACCCTCCTCTGAAGCAGCAGCTTCCCCATCTGCAAACCCCCGTGATGGGGCACCACAGGAAAAGCACCAGGGCTCTGCAGGATGAGAGTTCAGCAACCAGCACAGCCACAGACCTGCCCCAGGAAATGTCACCCAACTCCAACACACTTCTGTCCTGTGCAGGTAAATAAAGCCTAACTCTGACTACTCCATCAGGTCACCACAGAGTTGGCTCTTCCCTAGGTGACCCACCTTGTCTTTCCTCTGCTGAAAAGATGTCCTGGGGGATTTTGAGGACCTTGCCTTGTGTCCAGATTCTGAGTGAGGCAGCTGCTCTGACCTGGCTGCCCCATGCTCCAAATACCTACAGGATGCACATTCCATGAAATTCAGCATCCCTGGTGGGCAGGAGTCAGAGCTCTTGTCAGCAGAGCATGGTAAAGCTGGACTAAGATTAACAGAAGTGATTTGGAGAGATCCAGATTTGGGTGCTACTTCCAAGCTGTCCTAAAACAGCTTGAGTTATAGAAAGTGGAGAACAGCCAACCCATAAAAACCAGGGAGCTTTCAAACTTTTTGATTCTGACACTGAGTGGAAATGTCCAAAAATTGTTCTGAGAAATGTGACCAGTGACTGGGAAAAATACAGTAAAAAATCCCCTTCAAAAAACCATAGACATAGAGAGGTCTATGAGAAGAGAGGTTATTGTAAAAAACCCACAGCTCTCTCCTTTATTATTACACTGAGCAAACAAAGAGCTTTGGAAAGCACAGTAATTAAGCACAAACCATCTATTAGAGGAGAGGTAATAACCTGTATTTGCAAAATCTACAAAGATGCTGAATGTTTGCAGCAGCACCTCTAAGAAAGGGTTGTTTTGGAAGACGTGTTATAAAAATAAATGTCAGAGAGGTTATTGAACTGCAATGGTAGATACACATTTGCACTTCCCTGACCCTAAAATAAATGTATGCAATTTCTCCTTTGTGATCCCATGTAGCTAAATGCTTTTAAAAATATTCATATATGTTCTGACATTATTGGATATTCTTGTGAAATATATTTATATATAAGGGCAGAGTTAAAAACTAAAGGTAAATGGATACACAAAAATTGTCTAAAACACAACACAGAAAACTTCACAGCATTTTATTTTTCCAATGCTGATGAAAACAGACTCAGTAAAATCACGTTTGAGATATCCAGCTATTGTACAGTAGTGGAAAACATCCTAGACTTGGAATGAAATATGTGTTTGAAGGCAGAAGATTAACAGAAGAGTAAGAATTAAATATGAAGTCCTGTCACCAAAAGTTGCTACTGAAATTACATTTATCAAAACAAGGCCTCTTTACAAGCACTAGAATTATTACACACAGATATCTATGTTGCACTGTGTATTTGCTGCAATAGGACTCGTTTTAATGGAAACATTCTTATGAAAGGAAACTGCTCTTTGTGCTAACCTACACAGCACTGTAGAATATTCCCATTTGGAGAAGTGCCAAGCACAGCCCAGCTCCTCAGCTTATGCTGAGCTGTTTATTGATTCCAGTGGAACTGCACCAATTTAACCAGGTCAAGGAGCTGACCTCCCTATTCACAAAATATCTCCAGATAAGTTTTTGTGCAAAATTTCATCAGGACAAATATCTGTCCCTGATGTTATAAAGCAAAATGCAACAAATGTATTAGGGACCATCCTGATAAATCATTTTGTCCAACTGCATTTTGCTGCTCAGTGTCCTTGTGCAGCACAAGGAGAGGACATGGCTTATGGGACTGCCAGGTGGGAAAGCAGGCATGATTTGGGACAGTCAGCCCCTTCTTTGGGTTTCTGATGCCACTGTTGTTTGTATAAATACAGTTAAGCCATGCTTTGACTGATCCACTAAAAATAAAAGCCTCACTGCTACTTTTTCAGCTGTTAATGGACTGAAATAACATGAATGAACATGCAGTTCCATCCTCATTATTAACTCTGCATTCACTGGGGGCAAGACAAGAGCTAAGATGTGTTATTTTTTACTGCATAAATAATGCTATGTTGCTTCTTATGTTTAACATTCCTCAATATGAAGGAAGGAAAGTAGGAGAAATGTAACTGAGATGAAAGTGTGACCTTCCTGCAGGATCAGAGCCTTGCCAAATTCCCTGTTTTGTCTGTAAAATTACATGGGCTAACTTCATACACAGCAGCTTCTATGCATGTCCCCACACATGTCCAAAGGCAAATGAATCCTCAACACACCTAAATAATACCAGGAGTTAAACAGAGGGTGGAGAGAAAGTAATGCTGGATCTTGTCTGGCTGTGCAGAAGGGACAAACTTTTCCACTTACATTTAGGTGTGTGCATGGGGCCAAAAGTCAAGGTGTAAGACACATTAAAACTGAACAAAAAATGACATAAAATCAGGTGCTGCATACCTGGATAGATGCAAAATCCCCAGAAGCACAAGCTCCAAGAATAGCAGCACCCACCAAAACAGACTCCACTTCTTTGGACAGCACAACAGGTTTGCCTGCAGAGGGAAGAGCCAGGACTCTGTTAGGGAACACAGCAGCACCAGCAGCTCCACAAATAATTAAAACCAAAAAGACAAACAAAAAAGGAATCAAAAAGGGCTTGAAAACCATTATTCAAAACCCCATTCAGAGCTACATCCTGCTGTAGGTTAATGCAAATCTCTCTGCTCTGTGGTTCCAGGCTCCAAGGAAAGTGCAGCATTTCAATAAAATCATTTTAGCAAAATATTAATGTAGAACATAAAGCACACAAAAAACAACCCCCCAGATCTTTGACACTGGCTATTTATCTCATTCAAAGGGCTTGGTATAAACCTGTTACCCACACCCTCCAAACCCACGTGCCTATTAAAAGTTGACCTGCAGGGGAAAACAAGGCGGTCTCCTTTTTGTCTCTTTTGCAACAAACAAAAAAAGACTGTTTGTGTTTGGTTTTGAACATACAGCCAACAAAGCCAGCCTGGTTTTGCTGGAAGACATGAAAATATGAGTAGCAAGTTTTCTAAAGCTATGTATGAAATAATAAGAGAAATCTTGTCTTCCAATTTGGGCAAGATATTGGAAAACAAAATTAAAACACTGGAATAACAAGCAAACAATATATATTCTAAAGTAGAATTAAATATTAGTGTTTCATCACCCATGGGTACTATTGAGAACATACTTTCCCTTGGTTTATGCAGAATTTTCTGAGACCTGCTTCACTAGTGCAAAGAAAAGCAGGAAAAGGCTAAAAAAACCAAACAAAAACTAGCCTGCTTTCTTAATTCCCCTGAAAAATCTAACCAGGAGCATAAACCTAAATACTTTCCTAGCTGCACTTCAGATGCTTATCCTCTGAAAAATTTAATATTCCTGCAGTATTTGGCATTTGTCTGCTTTTCCAGTACTGAGATAATGTCATGCAGTGAATGATGATGCAAACACAGGGGTGGGAGCAGGGATTCCTGCTCAGAACAGTCTCCACCATATTATGCCTCAAAAAATGCTGCTCCTGAGAGCCAGCTGTAAGATTAGAAGGAGCTGAAATTTGGGTGAAGTCCTAAAATCAGCCATGAACAACTCCCATAGAGGAAAAAGGCAAAACACACACTTTGCAAAATGAGAAATAAAGTTATTGATATAAAAAAGCAAATTCACCTCGCACCAGGTTTTCAGTTACTTGATGCAAAGCTTGCCCTGCCACCTGAGCATTCCTGCAGCTCAGCTGAAGCACAGCTCAGGACTTGGGTCAGCTTGGAACAGCAGATCTCAAGCTCAGAGCTCCGTGGCTCTTTGCCAGGCGTCAGTGAGCAATTTTCAGCGTGCTCTGAAATTTACTGCCCATTTCCCGCATGGTCAGAATGAATAGGAATTCTTACCAGGCAAACAAAAAGATCAAGATACTTTTTAAGTGGCCTGTGGAATTATCTATTGGATGTCTGCATGGCTGAGTCATGGGCATTTGTGCTAACAATAATATATTCAGATTTTTTTCTTTTCAGGAAAGAATGGGGGATTGATCCTGGAATGTTAGTTATTTTATCTGATAGGCTTTAATGAGTTCAACATAACCAAGAGCATTTCAGTCAGATGAACTCTGACATCCCTTGTCAGTCACTGATTTTACAAATGGGGGAGAACTCCAGACTGCAAAAAGGCCTTTTTGTACTGAATTGTACTTGGCCATTAGTTACAGTCAAAGAACTTGTGATTACATTTTAATCAGAATACCTTTTCACAGATCTTTTCTTTTACACATCACCACCCAGCAGCCCAACTCTACATGTAGCTGAAATTCACCTAAAGTATGTGAGTTTTTGAAGGGAAGGCATGGACTTAACATCATTTTTTCACAAAGCATCACTCTGACTACAATACATTTAGTGAATTTTAAGGTCAACAGGCATTATGTTTTTTGCTTGTCCATCAGGGTTATAAAGTGTGGTTTGATGTTTGATGTCAGATCTCCAGACCAAACGGCCCAAATTTGGGCCTTAAACTTCATTTATGACATCTTAACTAATCTTAATTTGAAATAAACCCAAACCACACATCACTCAATGTTCCTCTGAAGTCCTTTACACTAAATTTTGTTATTTTTCCACATTTTTGAAGTATATTTAACTGACTCGCAGGTGTGCAGAGATATCCAACACACATGGGCTGAAGGGAGACCAAAAACACCAAGGAGACCTGAGAGCTTCTCCTGTAGTGAAACACACACCCAGGGCCTTCCACCCACCAGGAGTTTTACAAAACCAAGTGCAACACCTTGCAGGAGCAAGGATCCACATGCTGTCCTCTAAACCACACCAGTGACACAGGCATGGAAGCAATTCAGGAAAGAATTGTTCTGTAGGATGGATGCAATGCCCAGCATGAGCAGGAAGTGTCACAAGTCAAATAGGATGAAGCCAATAGAAGGAACATTTCATTGCACATTTTTTTAACCATTTAGCAAAATAAATCTATATATAAAGTCTTTATTTTTCCAAAGACAAAGTACTTTGACACCTAAGAAAAAAAAGTATTTCCACTCCTTTCCAAGCTCACCAGTAATGTCAGCGTGCATCTGCACAAAGAGAGGGTTCTTGCTCAGCCCACCACACAGGAACAGCGTGGTGATCTCATGTCCTGCAGCCTGCATCGCCTCCAAAATGTGTCTTGTTCCTAACTTCAAAAAGAGGAGAAAAAACAGAACCAGATGAGCACAGGAGAGCAGCCAGTACAGCAGTACACCTGCGTGGCAAAGGCATCCCCACCAGAACCTCCTCTTTACTTTGTGCAACAGCATCTGAACATCCAGCTCAGTAAAGAGGTTTCAATTTTGAAGCCAAATAGCAAAACAGAACAAAAAGAGAACGGCAAACAAAAAACTGTTTTCTGTCTTTTCAGCAAAAAGGAAAACCTGAAGAATTTTGTATTGGTTTAACTATTTCTCTTGGCCTTTGCCCTATGCAAAATAAAATGTTCTACTTCATGGCTGGATTAATTGAAACATCTCAAATGCAAGCATATTTTAAACTTTTCATTTACAGTCTCCATTCTGAGAAACTCAAATCAGAATGGCAGAAGCAAATGCTTTGCCATTAAAAAAAATTATTTTTTTCTTTTTGTTTGCTTCCCTCCTCACTGAAGTCAACCTTTTCCCTCTTGCAAGAATATTTTCCATTTCTTTGACAAACTATTTGACCAAAAATAATTCCCAGCTCTTTACAATACCTTGGAAGTTATGTTTGAAGCTCATATTTGACAAAATGCCAAATTCAAGGCAAAATGTTGCCCAGGCTGACTCTTGGTAGGCAGATTCCCCACAAAACACAATCTGGTCAGAGTTTTCATAAACTGTTATTTTTCTTTAGACCATGCTGCAGTTTATTAAGAGGGCTGCAGCTGCAACAAACCCCTCTTCAAATAAAAGGCACTGAAATAAAAGCCACAGGGCTCCACCAGGCTGGAGATGTCCACAGTGAATGCCCAGCACTATTCTGGACAGGCCTTCAAATGTATTTTGATTTTTAGACAGGCAGTTCAGAGGAACCTGAGCAGCCCCAGTCCCAGCTGACTAAATCCATCGCTTCCCTATTGACACAGAGGGCTGATCTCCAAATTGCACAGCCACGATTTTAATTATGGAAAAATCAACTGCTCCAAAAGGAGCCTGCCTGCTCAGAACGGGCTGGACAGCCACAATTGCATCTCTGATCATGTTCTCATCTGGCCAACTGTTGCATTGCATTTTGCAGTGAATAGTTAAAAGGAGATTCTCTTTCACTGCTTCTGAAATTCAAATTTATTAACAACTTCTCTCACAACATACACACGTCAAAGACCCTGAGAAAGAACATGCTGTGAAAATTATTTTGTGTTTACCTGCCTGGAAAATTGTATTCACACAGCAATTTAAATTAAAGCCAGACTTATTTCACTGTGGGTGGGGGGGGTGAACTAATTTAATCCTGGGTTGGAGAAAATGCAAATTGAGGGGCTTCAAATGCAAATTTTATATAAAAAGGAAAAAGCATCTCCTGCTGAAAAGAAAACTAGAGATTAACATTCTGTGGGCAGGCCTACACTTTGTACAAGATTTTTACATAGGTTTAAAGTTTATCTTGCACCCATTGAGGACAGCTAATGGTACAGGATTACTACAACTGTTTCCTTCAATAAAAGTGAAGTTAAAATTGGGAGTGAACATTTAATTTCCTAGGTATCCCATTAGCAATGAGTAAATATATCGAGTCAAATCCAATGTTCTCTGTCTACTTTTTAGTTACTGTTTCAATACTGCTTTTGGGAAAAAATAATTTCCCTTAATTTATAGTGAAAAGAAAACTACAATATGTCCTTTTTATATTAAATCAGCTCAATCAGCTCTCCAAAAGATATGCAGCTGCTGAGTTTGCTGCTCAAGACAGTATTTGTGTTTTACAATCAAGTTTGAGCTGTATCATATAATGAGATAATAGGTGACTTTCCCAGGATTTCCAGCAGAGAAGGTTTCCACTTCGTTAGCACGAGATAATCATGGGGCACCTGTTCCAGACTGGGAAGTTTCTTTCAGAGACAGGAGCAGTCCCTGGCATTGTTGAACCTCTCCTCCACTTTCTTCTTTCAATGGTGGGATTATACTGAAGCATCAGGTATAACCCAGCTACATTCATCTGCAAAAGTCTCCAAACTCACAACAATGAATCCCAGGCTGGGGTTAAGTTCTCCTTATTTGCTGAAGAGGGAGGGTTAACACATGAGATGAACAATTCCCAATAAATTTACAGCAGCCGCCCACCCTCTCCATCCCAGATGGCTGACCCAGCCTAGAAAAGTTGTTGTTTAACCAGGACAGGAGTTTGGAAATTTTCCAACTGAACAGAGTTTTGTCAGGAAAACTCCCCAATTCATCAGCCTGTTCATGTTTTGCAAAAACACCTCAAGTTCAACAAATTAAAAAAAAATGGACAGAAAGGACGTTAAAGGAATGTGGATTTCAGTGACCAGAGGGCTGGGGACAGCATGTCCCTCTGGAAACACCCTGATCCAGGCTTTCCAAACCACTTCTGTGAGCCAGGGTTTCACCTCAAAACAGAACTTCTCGTGAACTGGAAATCCTGGGTTCAAGAGAAAATCAGGGCAGAACAAAAAGAATTCCGATAAATTCCCCATGCCTGGTGCTGGCAAACACCAGGGACATTTCCCAGCCTGCCTGCCCAGCCAAGGCCACAGGCTGGGCCTGCTCCCCCTGGGCAGGGACACAGGGGGAAGATGTGCCCTGCTGGGTCTGAGCCACAGCCCTGGCACAGAGCTCTGCCTCACCCAGCGGGCAGGGAGGGCAAATCCACGGATTTGGGAACAATCTGAGGCTGAGGCTTTTCAGGGCAGCACAGAGCCCTTTGTAGAATTGCCAGAGCTTTTCTCCCCCTCTCTCAGCCTCCCTCAGGACAGCTGGGATGTTAACACTGCTCCTTGTGCTGTCAGCCTCCTCCCTCACATCTGCACCAGAGGCAAAGGCTCCACGTGCAGAATTGCCATAAAGACAGGATTTTTTAGGGGAACATCTTCCCCCACAGCCTGCTGATTATCCTCCAGTTGGGAGTGGTCACCAATGTGGGTGAACAGTATCTTGCTCCTTTAAGAAGCCCATTAAGTGCATTCATGTATTATTAGAAATCTGGTTAGCAGAAGGGAATGATCAGTCTGCACAGAACAATTCATTTCTTCTTTTATGCACTAAAAATGTCTTACAGCAATGGCTTGGATCGTGGCCAGGTAGATAAGGGCAAGTTCATCCAGACCCCGAGACAATGTTAGTCCAACAACCTGTGCAGAGATCAAAAGGAAGATGTAAAAATCCAGCCAAAGTACAACTCTATTATTCTCTATGGCTTCTTGTTGTAACAAGTTTTAAGTGCTAATTCCAAGCCTTACTCCTGTGAGCTGTACACATAATGTTATGTTAAACATGTTATTCCTGATCTGGGGAAGAGCCACATAAATTATCCTTGCCCTTGTGAAGAAATAAAGAACAAACAGCATATTGTATGGGATTAGAGATAGATTAACTCTGACAGTTTTATGTTATGACTCAGATATTGCTCGTGAATGTATTTAATGTAATAATATGAAAATGCTATTACATAAAAATAACTTTTTAAAAGCATTTCTCCCCCGCCCTCCCAAGCACCCTAACACTGAAACACAATTAATAATTAAATACTATATCTTAACCTCCTTTACTCTGACATAAATCAATACTGCACTGTAGTTACTCTGGATTAATATCAGGCAAGACCTGAAAGCAGACAGAATTGTGACAGATAAAATGGGTTGCTATTACCAGTATTTGCATACAGCCATCATACCAAGGAAATTCTGATTTTGCTGCAGCATGTTATTTTTTCATAAAATAATGGAGGTATTCTTAGGACCCAAAAATATATAGGCCTTTTTTTTAATTTTTAATGTTTGCCTCATTTGTGGCTTAAACCATGCAGAAGTGCTTATGCCTTTCCTATCTCAGCCTTAATTACAGCAGATTTTGGTGCTAGTGAGCAGCTTGAGGCACACTTCAAGGACAATTTGCCATTTTGAAGGAGATTTTTGCATTAATCACCAGGTATTTTGATATCACCAAATTATACTCTTATGACACCCTTCTGTTACAGTTCTGCACAGACCTGGCTTGTGAGTGAGCTGATCCACCACTGTAAATCAAAGGAAGAGCAATGCCCAAACTCTGAAAGTTGGGCTGAAAAGCTGCTTAAATCAACCACCTATGGGCAGAATATTTCATTCCTTTCCCAGACAGGTTCACCCAAAATTCTCTTGAAATTCATTGCAACAAATTGTAAGATTGGTTATCTCACAGGTGAAATAACAGCAGCAAGAGCTGTGAATGTGACTCCTAGAAAAGATACCTGCACACACACAACATTCCTCAAGTTTTTAGAAAATTAATGTGGCTGTAGTGATATCTCAAGTACAATGATCTCTGGTTTTCTACTGAAACATCAGCAATGCAGCAAGAAACCTAAATCCTTTGGGACAGTGTAAATAGCTAAGGAGGAGTGCACTCAAAATTGAAGAAAAGCTCCTTCCAAACTCTTTTTTTTTTTCTTTTTACCCTGTATTGACCTTTTTGCAAAGACAGGCTGTTTCTTACCATGCCCTTTAGTGTCAGATCTGTTAAGGGAGATCTGTTACCATGGAAATCTGGCCAAACATGTAAATCAACAGTGAGGAAACCCACAGGCAAAGATTTCTTAATCAGATCCAGGTGACTGTTCAAGTATGTATATATACTGTGAGCACTGCAAGAAAAACAAGTTGGAAAAAGAGGGGGGAGGTTATTCCTCAAACATAAAACATTTGTACCACCACCAAATGCATAAACCCCAGTAAAGAACAGCAAAATCCCACTGTCTGCCAAGGCCATGGCACTGCAGGGATATCTCTGTGCATGTGGGCTCAACAGGCCACCAGAATTCCTTAATTTCCTGGGATGAGGGGAGGTAATGGGACCTTGAGCTTGTCCACTGACTCCTAAGAGCTGTTTGAGATTTGGGGGCTGCTGCTGCTCCTCTCCCACAGCTGAGGGAGGAGTAAAGAGGATTCCAGACAAAAATGAAAACCAAATTCCATTGCAAATGTTTAAAAATTTCTCTGATTAATCAATAGCGCTGGATGTACAGCTTTCCTTTTTTAAACCATAATTATTTCAGTGTGTGTTATGATTAAAATGCAGCACTAAGGGTGGAGGAGAGAAAGTTAGTGGCTGCTATTTTAGGGAGGAGCCCAACATGGGCCTAAATATGATTGTATCTAAGTTCAGATGCTACACCCAACTCCACAATATCCAACAGACTTTTTTCCTGGACTAATGGTGAATTCTTCAGTGCCTTGGCTTGCAATGACTCTAGTGACATTCCATTTAAAAAATGTTGCAATTACACTCAGAATCTTTTTTTTTTCAAACACTCATCCTATCACAAACAAACCCATATATATTTTCCAACTCCTTGGAAATCTCCAAGTGAGGCATTTAATTCTAGACATGTGGGTCAATAATAGCATCTAACCCTAATTACAATTGATTAGTCATTGTCTCATCCACTGCAGACCCAAACAGTGATATTCATTTAGCCTCTACATGTATATTCAATCATGCACTAATGAGATCCCTAAGGGAATTTGGCATATGCTTTACTAGTTTGACTTCTGACCCACTAGCAGCTGTATATTTATACTTTGCATTCAACCATTCAGCTGCATGTTTTTTCAATTATACCTTACCATGTGTACATTATCAGAGGATATCATTCAAAATGAAGTACACTTGGAAGACATTAAAATAACTAATTTACATCATTATTCACGTCCTTTAAATGTGCTTTATGTGTCTTCCTGGACCCGAATTATGATAATTTGGACGTCACCATCATTTCTTTCCTGTTCTTGTAAAAGTGGCCCTGTTTTCTCCATCCCTAAAGACTCCACTACAAGCAGTACATGCTAAGGATAAAGTAGTTTTAATTCCAGTCTCAATCATGGCTTGACTGTTGGGAAGGATAAAAAAGGAAAGCTTCACTCAACCACCAGACATCCCAGTCTCTCTCCTTTCCTCTCCATCCTGGCTGATTGCTCTCACAAGGATTAGCCATTTGTGCAGCTCTGTCAGAACACAAGGACTGAACAAAAGGAGGCTGAAGTTGAGCCAAATATGCTTAAGATTCACATAACCTTGGAATTACACTTTTCCCCACACCTTTTCACATTTTATTTTTTTCCTAAATATAGATAAGGGTTCAAGGCACTACATTTGGACTGAGTGACTAGCAAAATCCCTCAAACACCTGCCAGAGCCTGTTTTACCACCTTTGTGTTTAACCCAGTATAACACCATCACCTCCTGGAGCTTTTTCTACTCAGTTCTCTGTGAAAGTATCAGTGGCAGCTGCCTCTGACCTGCAGAGCTGAGCATGAGTTGTTGCCATGAAAAAGGAACTGTGCTGAATGTGGAAGAATAAGAAATCAATGCAAGGCTGCCCAGAGCTGTGTTCATACTTGGGACATGACTTCAGAAAGCAACCAGAGGTTAATCTGAGAGATGCCAGCAGGTATCTTTCAGGGGAAAAAAACAATCCAAATTTTTTTTATTTCTAAATTAAAAAAAAAAAAAAAAGGTTCTAAACCATCTAGAGACACAGAGACCTGCCAAATACGATTCTTATATTCTGCTAGGAAGATGCCAGAATTGCTGGTGGATGTTGTGTGTGTAACTTCAATGCTTTCTTTTCAGGAGACATCTCTTTAGATGAGGAAATGGCACTGAGAGCTACAGGAAAGGGAATTCTGCCCTAAAAAAGCACTTCACTGAGTGCCAAAGGACATACAAACTCTGCTGCCAGTTAGACACTTTCCCTCTCTATCAGATTATAAACTGTCATTCTAGAAAACAGAATCATTTAAAATTTAAAGCAAAAGGGATCATATTATTTCTTTTAATTTCCTATTCTAATCTACCTGTACAGGATTTAACAGAGCAGTGATGACTAAATAATTTCTGCAACTCACTGAATTCCCTGAAAAACCCCAAGTTTTGGTGCTCACAGATTGTGCCCATCAGATAGACCAAATGCTACATTTAAACTGTCCAGAAAATCCTTGTGTAATTCAACCCTCTCCACTTCCAGTAAAAGATGGGTAAAAAAGAACCCAGGAATAGGACTGGGAGGGTTGCACAAGCCTGGCCTTCAGCAGCAGTGGTCAGAGCTGCTTGTCTGAGCCTCTCACGCCCTCCCAAACCACCACAAATCTCTGCACTGGTGCTAAAACAGCTGGAAATCTGCTCTGGTGGGGGCAAAGGAGAGTTTGCCCAGGGAAACTCCCCAGATCAGCTGCTCAGCACGGACCTGCCACACCAAACCTGCCTCTTAGCAGCCTCAGGAGAAAGAGAGGACAGGTTTGGGGTGGCAGAAGGAGGTGAGAGCAAAGAAGCAAGAGGCTTTGTGACCTCTGATGTTGTGTATTTAATGATCCAGACATGCATGTGGCTTAACACTTCACTGCACCCAGCATGGGAAGTAAAGGCAACATGGAATTGCACACCAAAGTATGGATAGCAGTTAGCCATGGAGGGGGAAACCCATACTTCCAAAGTATGGAATTCTCATCTGGTTCCCCCTCCACAGCTATCTGCAATTGCTGGAGAGATTCAAATTCCTACAGCCACACAGAAAATATCCTTAAACATAACAAACCAAATTCTCTGATCTGTTCTGCTGAGAATTCCAGTGAAATAATTTATCATCACCAATAATCCTCCAAAACAAGATACCATGTTTGAAGGGAGCCGACAAGAAAGATGAAGAGAGACAATCACAAGGGCCAGGAGTGACAGGACAAGGGAGAATGGTTTCACACTGCCAGAGGGCAGGGTTGGATGGGATATTGGGAAGGAATTGTTCCCTGTGAAGGTGGTGAGGCCCTGGCATAGGGTGCCCAGAGAAGCTGTGGCTGTCCCTGGATCCCTGGAAGTGTCCAAGGCCAGGTTGGACAGGGCTTGGAGCAGCCTGGGATAGTGGAAGGTATTCCTGCCCATGGCAGAGGTAGGACTGGGTGGGCTCTAAGGTCCCTCCCAACTCACACCCTTCTGTGATTCTCTGATTATTTTTATTCTGTGTATATGACTTAATGTAGAAAAACACACAATCCAGAGTTTTGGCCAACAGCAGCTGCTACTTGTACCCAGGATAAGGCTGAAGTTTGGGGAATCATGGAAAAATAGAAAGGAAAAAAATAAGAAAGAAACAAGTTCAAATTTCAAAGTTACTGATTTTTGAATTTTTTTTGAAATTCAATTCTTTAATTTAACAAGTATTTGAGAGGGACAGGGAGACAGAAAATGAGAAAATTAATATGAGACCTGTTTAGCAAACTTATAGCAATACCAATGTTTCAATAGGAGAGTGATACCTGGAAAGCATTACAAAAATACCATTGAGCAAATTAACTTAGTAAAATATTATCACTCTTTTTTATAAAAATATTACAACTCTTACTATCAGTGCTATTCTCCACCATGTTGCTAACTGCAGGAGACTCAAATTCAAAGTTATGATACCATCCCCTTGGATAACATGGACTTCTATTGCCAATATTCTGTGTTTAGTGTCCTGCTCACATCACAATCTCAGTTTTTGCACTGTGGCATTGTTTGTGGTCAGTCAGTTCAGTATCAGACCCAGCAGACACAAGTAGGCTACTCCATAGGCACTTTTCCAACACAAAAAAAAAGATGGTTTATCCTGGCATTACAGACTAAACTGTTTGTCTTATGCTAGTGCTTCAAATGGGGGCACTGGAAAAATGGCCTGGAAGCCAGAATTTTGAAAAAGACCCAGTTCAATCTTTATTCCAAACATACACAGATGCATTTATTTCCTGATTTCCTTTTCCAAAGAACAACAAAGAGAATTCTAGGAAGCATGAATCTGTTTCATATTGAATGAAGTCCAATACATTTCTGGGAATCCTGGTGAAGTTCTTAACAAACAAGTAAGGCAGTGGGCCCTGCAAGGCAAGGAAGGGTCATCCAGAGAAGCCAGGTAGAGCTTTATCTCCCCAGGGAGGACTGAAAATATCTCTGTAACAGCACGTGCTTAATCCATCTATCAGGACTGGCCCTGCCTCTCAGACCAGAGGGAGAAACTGAAGGGAAAATGCCAAGTTTACCAGGTTTTTTTTCTTAAATCTAAAGAGGAAAAAGACATTTAAAAGAATCACATTTTCATCCAATGTGCCCAACTGTTCAGCTAAGTCCTCTCTGGGAGTGATATGAACCATCTCAGAGTGAATCCAGGCCAAAAAAGCTTGAGGAAGTCCAGGCCTGACAGAAGTCTCTGAACTGTCTTCATCCACTTCTAAAGCAGAACAAGCTCAAATTCCACATCACACAGAGCCTCTTGTTCAAGGAATAGTGGAGTTACCTCCAAGTCACCCCTCCATTTAAAGCTTTGTCTGAAAATTCATCCTGTGTTTCTCTATTTGTGCTGCCAAACAGGAGTTTGGCCACACCCACCTTTAGATGACTGTTTCAAAAATACTGAATAATATATTCCTAATTAAGCTACATCCCATCCTAGGAGCTCAATTCTTTCACCTACAAATTAAGACATACTGTTAGCCCAAGGCATGGAGGTCTGCTGAACAGGGCTGGTGCTACAGAATCAAGAACTACCTTGGGCTGGATAGAAAAGCAAGAAGTTAACATGGTTACTTAGATATGCCAAAGGTATCTGAGGGGAGTTTAAACCTTACATTTATGAGCAATCACCTGGAAAGTCTTTGTAAATACTTCCAGCCCACTATCAGACTGTTAATTCCCCTGAGTGAGAATGAGGACACTGCTGGGAATACAATGTGCCTCAGTCAGTAAGGCAGGTATGTGATAAAGGAATAAAACAGTGACCTGGCTTCAGCCTTTGCCTCTAATTCTGGGAAGGCGACGTGGCCTCGCACCACATGATCGATCTGAAAAAGAGAAAAGCAACATTTTGAGGATGAGTGCATCTTGAAAATTCAGTCCTGAAAAAAGGAAAGGCAGTGTTACAGCTTTAAAAAAGACAAGAGAGCTTCTAAATTACTCATAAAGTGTTAAATCCTAGTCCTAGCAAAGCCAATGGCAAAACTCCCACTGAAATTCAGGATTTGGCATATAAACAGTAAGAAAAACAACCAACCTTGCACCAAACCCAGGCCAAATGCTAAGCATGCAGCTCCTCAGTCAGGAGAGTTAGGTGAAAGAATGACTTTTTTCCTGTCCAGCACCCCCTGCATGTCCTCTAATCTGTCCCATTCTGCATGGATATCCTTATTGGAATTCTACCAGAAGCATCTTCTTGGCCCAAGTCCCTATGTCATCTTTCTCTATCACACTGTTATGATAAAACACAAGGTGTGTTGTCATCCTGATAGATGCTTTGTGCATTCATTGCAGGAAACAAAATGTATACCCTGAGAAGCAATTATTGCTATAAAAGAAGATCAATATAAGCTCTGTCTTATGCTGAATTTATAAATCAGCTTGTCCTTTCACTCCAGAGTGGTTACCATTACTCACAAAACAAAGTATCAGGTAGAATAATATGGGCTTTTAAGCCAATAATTCAGCAGGTTTTGTGGCCTCTTGGTAATATCCCATCAGAGGTGACAGTAAAAGCTAAGGAGGCAAAACTACAGCTACTCAAGAGCACTGAGTATATTTGGCAGTACTTATTGACAGCAAATCACATTGGTATTTAATCTTAACAGCATGAGTCTAGTCCTGAACCACATAATGAAGCATACACATGTGAACACAGCAAAGAAAATAATGCATGTCTGTTCTCCCTGAGATCAGCATCAAAGACAGAGGTCAAACATGTGCATGCACCAGAAGCACAGCTCAGGCCTGAATTCTGCAATCCTGCAGAATCTCTGCAGAACACAGGGGCAGCTCATAAATTCAGAAAGAAATCTATAAATAAACATCATATATAGGTGTCTGCTCTGAAAACACTGTTACACAGAACTCTTACAGGAGTTATGAAGTTTGCCCTTAATTCAAGCCATGGCCACATGAAGGATGCATCTAGAAACCCTTTTCTGTTATTTTTTATTTCACATTTCGCAGTGATGTCATGCCATCCTTTGTCTCCACTGTGCAATATATTTCTTCCTATAAATTTTGAAAATATAGTGTAAAATCCCATTGAATATACAACTGAACAAGAATTTGCAGAACAAGGGACTTCTTAATCCTTCATTTGGGCACTATATAAACAGTTTTCAAGATCCAACTGATTTTTTTGCAGCCCCCAAAAAAATTTCTTTTATCCCCAAAAAATTAGAGATTTTTAAAGGGATCAGCTTTACTTTTAAGAAGTTTGATCAGACTGTTCAAATACTATGGAAACAATTCATCTTGGGGTATTGATCAAGCAATGGAAAGAACTCCTAAATATGTGTTTTGGTTTTTTTGGGGTTTTTTTGTTTGTTTTCAGAAGACTTTAGGTGTGAGAAAGCAGGAGCTTTGAAATGACAGAGATAATAAATGCAGTGTACCCTGCACAGTGCACATAGCAGTGTCTCCTCCCATGGCTCCCTATGTGTCTTCTGTTCACCTCAAGAAAACCACAGGGGATATTCCAAGAATGTTTTAATGAGACACTTTCCCTAATATTCCTAACAGTACTTCAAGCTGCCTTTTGCTGTGGGTCCTAACAAGACTCTTCATTTTTCCTAGTAATTTCTTTAGTGATTCAGGAGCACCTTGTTCTCTGGTCCAAGAAAGGAAAGGATTTTTAAAATCATCTTTTTCAAATGCCTTAATTCTCATTGTACATTTTAAGAGTGGAACCACTGTGAGCCAGCCAAGAAAAACTCCTGACTGCCTGTATCCTGTCTGGAACTTAGATAAGTGTATTTACCTGTCCAGAATTAAGCACACAGAAACTTCCTTCTCAAAATTGTTCTCGCAAAGCAGCACACAAGATTTGCTATTTTCCTTGAAAACTGGTAATGTTATGTGCATACATTTATTATTTTATATGGACATTATTCAGTTTTATGTCTGGTTGTAGCAGTTATTTGTAAAATGGGACACTTTATGGTCCTGGCCCAATCTTTACCTGAAAAATGTAAAGCACACACATCCCACCTGCTGCAAAAGCAATTATTAAAAATTATCAATTATTAATTTAAAAGTTTTTAGCCACAATGCTAAGGATGGGCTGGAAGTGGGGTGGGAAGCCAGGCTGCAGGAGGAGGAATGACTGTGCCACTGCAGCTGTGACATAGAGGAATGTCAGGTTGGTGTGGCCAAGGAGAGAGCTCAGGACGGATCCCCAGTCCCAGCTCAGCCTGGGGTGTGTCTGGGCTTCCTGATCCAGGAGGATTTCTGCTTTTCACTCAGTGACTGTTCCATATGGAATGTTTAAATGCAGAAATGCCCCAGTGCATTTCCTGGCCATGCACTCCCATCTCCAGGCTTGTAAAGAGATGGGTGGTGCTGAGTCAGGAGTGATCACAGCTGCAGTTTGTGACAGACCAAACCCACCTGCACTCGGGGCTTTCCAGGGACACCCACAGGCCTGGGGCTGTCTCCTGCAGCCTCTCCAGGGCAGCTCAGCCCTGAGGGCAGCCAGAGCTTCCACAGGTTGGGCAAGGTGACACTGATGCCTCAGGTTTTGGCTTTTATATTTTTCAGATTCTGTGCATTAGTGTGTAATTCTGAGATTCACATGAGGGGATGGTGAGCTCTGCACAGAGCAGGGAGACAAAACAATTCCTGCTCCAGCTGGGCATCAAGGACAAATGATCCAAATCTCAGGCCCAAGAGCACAAACAGCATGGGCTGAAGAGAGAAAAACAAGAAGGATGGGACTTCATAACCTGAAGCTATAACTGGACAATTAACTCCAATATGCAAATGGAGCAGAACTTATAAAAATGTATCCCATGACCAGCCATCCATTGTGGTTCATCTTGGGTGCAGCCCTGGCTGGGCTCTTGTGCTGCCCAAGGTGTGTCCATTGAGGCCTCTAATAAATTCCTGCTTTATTCTTTAACTCTGTCTAGCCTCTGTTCTAGGTCAGCCTTCACAAGGCATTAACACAAGGAGATCCAGAAACCCCAGGGTTAAGCAGTCACCAAGGACTTGCTGACACTTTTGGACTCAAGCCTAAATACTGTCGTGTACATGCAGCTTTTTTTTTAAATTTGATATATTTTATTTCTGACTGCCTTCCCGTAAATACGAAAATTCATTTTTTAGTGAACTCTGCTTAGCTTTAATTTTTATTGGTAAATTAAATTAACCTAATACTGTATTCACTGAAACAACTGAGATGATGGAATAATATGTTACCATGTTACTGCTCTGTCCCTAGCTTTCATTTACGCTCATCAATGAACACAACTGATCTATATAATACAATATGTATCATTTTCTTCACCTTAAAGTCTGTGTCAGCCTCTTGCTAAAGCAAAGAATGAAGCCAATTTGCCTGTAAGGTAATTACAATAATCATCACTACCACCATAAAAGGAAGACATGCCCTGTAAATAATCCCCTATCTCTATGCAAATTAGTATTACATAACACACATAACACTCATCTAATTGTTAATTGCTTTCAGCAGCCTGGTACATCCCATGATCTTATGGAGATGTTTCAGGTCTGAATTGCCAGTCTCCAAACACTCACCAGTTTTCCTGTAGCACTCTGGCCTCCCTCATTCAACCATAATCCAGGTATCATGGCAGAGAAATACGGTCCCCAAACACCAGGCACAAAAATGGGGGTTTCACTGACCTGGAAAAGCAACAGAAAGCTCTAGTGAATCCAAGTGCTTGTCAAAGTAGGAAGTCCACAATTAAAGCTTGGCAGCTGCCAGAGCCCAATACTGAGACAATTCCTGCTTCTCCACTGGAATTACCAACAGAAGTGGAGATTTACAGGTAGAAATTTACTCCAAAAAAAACGGGAAAATGTTTTCCCCCATTACATAATTTTTAGATGATAAGACACAGCCCACAACCCACTCATCCCCACTGAAGAACAGCTGGGTCTGGACAAACAGAAAGTAAGAAATTTCAGGAATAGGATCTGTATTTTACACAGAGAGGGAAACTGGATCATTTCTCCAGAAAAAGGACTTATTTAGTAGTGGGATACAATACTCTGCTTGATTGGCATGAGCAAACACAGGCACTGTAATCAGCACAGGAGTTTCCCATCCTGTACTTTTGGAGAGCTCAGAATGAGGAGGGAATCCTGCTGACAGAGGACAGTGGTGTCCCTTGAGAGCTGCCATCAGCTCCATGCTGGCAGTGGAAGCCCAAGCCCCAGGGCCCTCACAACAGTGCCAGGAGAGTGGGGTGCCTCAGGTGCAGGCTGCACACCTGGGCTGGCATCTGCTTGGCTTCAGCAGCAAACGTGCCTGGGTAAACACCAGATTCTGCCCCTTAGTTAGGTTTAGCTTTACAAAAACCACACCTAGCTGTGAGGGCAGATCAGGCAGATATCTGAGCAGTGTCTCCCCGCCATGGAGCAGTGCTCCACCACTCACACAGCAATATCCCCAGCACAGTGACAGCCTGGCCCCTGCACTCCCTGCTTTTGTGGTTAGACCACTCAGGATGTGGGAGACACTGCTTCATTTCCTTTCTGTCCTTCAGAAGATGCAAATTACCAGTTTATAAGGGTGGAGGGCATTTTCCTTCCTCTTGCAGAGTGGTTTCACTTTCAGTAGACCAGACAGACTTTCTACACTTCCCTCCCGGTTCAGCAGATCCCTGTCCAGTCTGCAAGCAAGGCCCAGACACACCAGGAACTGGGATGGTGGGACCTGGGTCCCAGGACTTGCTCCAAAGACTAATTCAACCCCACTGGTCGAACATGGAATTCTTGCAGCAGGGGCTGGAGGACACAGGCCATCCACGCCCTGCCAGGCTTCTCTTGGAAGCAGGATCCATGTTTTCTCTTCCAGGACCACGTATATACTCTCAAGTGAGACACAGCTGTGATTTCACTGGGAAAAGAGAACAGCAGTGCAGTCCTACCATCCCATGATTTATGCTGCACTTCCCACTGATGATGGCTAAATCTGCAACTGTTGTTTTCTAGAAGGTGGGAACTACTAGTGGAGAAGGATACAAAAGAATTAATTCCCTAACAAAATCAGTCTGTTTCCAATGCTGAAGAGCAAAAAGAGAGGTCTTAGTCAATGGGACAATGGGGTTTTTTGTATTTAGACCTTGCTCTTCAATAGCAAAATTCTAGACCCATTGAAGGATGCTCAAGGTTTGCTGTTGAATTCAATAAAGCCTGGACTTTACATCAAAACAGTTTTGAGAATAATTAAAAATTCAGGCCTGTTCCTCTTAAACTTGATGCACATTCTCTCTATATTTAAACAGGCTGAACATTAAAGGCAGTTTTTACTAGCCAGTAGGGAATATGCTCCAAGATACAGTTTACTGGCATTTGTGCATCACACATGTTTAGTAAATACAGCAGCAGGGAGGTTTCTGCACAAACAATAGTCTGCTCAAGCCATAAACTTACAGTACAGCTGATTCTTGTCAGGAAGTTAAGTAGGAAAACAAAACAACAAAAATTTGTTTTTCAAAATACATCACCACAGTGTCAAGAAATGCTGATTTCTCTCAGGAACACATCTAACAAATCTGAGAATCCTGCTTGGTTCTCCCTTATCAGCTCTGATGCCCTGAGTTACTTTCCTTACAGATGTATGTGTACACATGTGTCTTGTGTGTCTGTGCAAGATTTTGGCTGACTAAACCCATTAAAGAGCAAGAATAGCTGCACTGAATTTACAAAGGCATTTATGACTCCAAGTGGACAAAGCTACGTCAAAAACATTGCAAAGACATTTGGTTTTGTTTTGTTTTCTCTTAAAACTACAAATTAATACAGCTTTGAGTTTTCAACACCTCGATGGGGCAAGCCTTCTTTTACGATTTCAATAACAAAATGAAGCACAAGAAAAAGCAAATCCTAAAACAAGCTGATTTTTAGACCAATTCCACTTCACTGACCTCACTGAGAACACAGCATGTAGCCAAAGTCCCCAGTCAGTATCTGCTCTGAACTGGTGATGGGGAGAACCCAAACATCCCAACTCACTCCCACCCTACAGCCATGGACACAGCACAGTGTCCCAGGAGCTGACAAGGTACATTTAGGACAGAAGGGGCCTGGGGTTTGAAGGCTTATCTCAAAACATTTGTGATGCAGAGAACTTTGCAGGGTTCTGCAGTGTGCTGAAGGAAAAATCTGGTTATGGCAAAGGGATCAAGCCTAAAATCTAAATGCTGTGTCACCAGAAAAAAAAACACAAAGCAGCCAAAGGATATTAAAGGCATCAAGATGCTTTATGAAATCAGGGGAAAGTCTCAACATCAAGAAGGGCAACAGAGTTTATAAAATAAAAAAAACAAACCCACACCTTTTTTCTGTCATTAGTCCATGATTTACCAAATTCTCCTGTAAAAACGTTTAGATTCATTAAAAGACCAAATTCTCCCTGCAGCCAGTACTTCTGGCCTAGCGTTTTGGACACTCACAGGAATTTAGGACAGGATATTTCCATGCTGGCTCTTCTCACATTACACTGAGACCTTCCTATCCTCTTACTACCAAAGTACCATTTGTACACATTCCAGCAAACTTTCAACACATGAACAGAGCAAACGAGGGCGTTGGGAATTGCCACACTGATGAATAAAGCCAGCAGGGCACTTGGTTATCAGTTTTGTTGCTGTGGGAACTTTTAACTGGAATAAAGAACACTGGCTGTCATGCTTGGCTTTGCTGATGATAGGGCATAATCAGATTTCCCATTTCCCCCTTTCACTTAAGGAGTTTAATTCACATTTTGCAGACTCTGGGTTTTGATACACATGGAAAGGAAGAAAATTGGGAATAACAAACTCCTCAAAACAGACACACTTTGAGAAGCAACAGGGTGAGCATCCTCCTGTAACTATATGCATCAGAAACAGCAAATGGTTTCCATTTCCCCTCCTTGAAATATTTGGACGGTGATTAAATCTTTCAAGCCACGCAGCAGCTGGCATTTGTATTTTCATAATAAAAGGTCCTAATTCTGTTTGAGTATACATCCCACTCAATCCCACCAAAACACATGACTAGACAGAGGCATAAGGCTGGAGAAACAGTGCAAAGTTTGCTGCAGAACCTAGAAGAGAAGAAAAGCACAATTTTCCAGATTCAGGGCTATTTTGGTTACAATAACACCATGTCTCTTTTACAGCTTTCAATTGCCTTCAGACATTCTTATGGTGATATAGCAGGATCAATGTCATTATTTTTTTTTCCTTTAATGAGCTTAAGAAAATCCTTAATCTTTTTAGTAGAAAAACAACATGTGTTTCAGATTTATGGGCAATTGATTTTTATTTTTAAAGCAAATAAGAGATGTCATCCTTCTCTGGAAGTTAAAATACTAATTCAAAGGGAGCCTAAGATTTTCTGCCTTCCATTGAACTGAAACTCCTCCTGTGACACACTCCCACTGTGAGACATAGTAACAGTTATTATCTTTTATATAGAGTGAAACTGAAACACAGGATATCCTCTGCTAGAGGTGAGAGTGATCTCTGCACAATTAATGCAGCAGGAATTTGAAGACAGAAGACGAGAGGAATCTGAACCTGTTCAGACTTTGAGTCATAAGCTGCATCTATAAATATTTCAGCTGAACGTGTTCACACAGGGACTGTTGCCCTCATGGGTGATGATGCCAGCTCAGACAGGGATTACACCCAGACAGGCAATTCCACCTCACAGTTACTCTGTCTGGGCATGGGGGACAAACCTTTTGTGCAAGGAAATGTCACCTTTCCCTGCCTCCCCACTACACACATTCCTGCTTGCTCAGCCCCACTGCTTTGGATGAAATGAGCACTAAGCAGTTCCAAGATTCCTATTCATTTGACAGGAAAAAAAAAATTAAAAAAAAAAAAAAGAGTTCCACACCTTCTGAAAGGGAGAAGAAGGGAAATAAAGTTCTCTCTGGGCGGGTTTAACCTCAGCGTGTGCTTTATAAAAGATCATACTAATATGTAAGATATGTAAACATTATAGAGCAATCAGAAACAAATGAAAGGATGAATTCAGTTTAACAATATTCAGCTGTGGTGCAACTGCCAGAAGGCACTTTTTGTTATGAATAGATCATTTGGATGAGTTACAGGCCAGACTTGAACCCTGGCGTGCGCTGGGAAAATCAGTGTCAAACTACCTAAGATCAGAAGGTATCAGCAGCACATCTGGCAGCCCACAGAAACGAAAAATGTTTTTAAAATATAAAAGGCTATATAGAACTAAGGTAAATTAAGAAAGGACCTGCTTAAATGGCATTAATATGAGATCTGTAATGTATTTAATTTAGATTAGTCCTTCCCACTTGCCTCTCCCTTTAAAACAAAGGCAGGCAAAAAATTCCATTTCAGTTATAAAAGTCTACCTGGAAAAAAAAAGCAGGAGAGGCTAATGCACAGCTCATGTGAGTGAATCAGAGGAGTCTTTAACCCAAGTTCAGCTCTCAGGACAGTCCCTGGCTTCAAGGACAGGACAGAACAGAGACCTTCAGAGACAAGCCTCACCTGGCACCCAGCCATGCCATCAAATGAGCAAGTGGCACTGTGAGATTTGTTTCACTTAGCTTTGTTTTCCTGGGCCAGCCATGATGATCAGGCACATGCTTGTGCTTCCTCCTCAGCTTTATGTAAATGTTAGGGCAATCAGAGACAAGACAAAATAAA